CTCCGTGGGAGGTATGCATAATCGGAAACCATATTTTGTGAGTATACTCATATGTGTGTAGTACTGTCATTTAGGCTCGAGGTTGTGTGCAGATTATGGATGTCCCTGAAGCACAACTATCTGAAGGAGGCCGACTTCAAGGCCCAGCATTTTGGCTTCTATTATACGCACAAACCTATTGTATGGAAATTGTAGCAGTCCCCGAAGTATTATTATTTTAAGAGTGGGGAACTGCGTCAAGATTCATGACTTTAGCAGTCCCGCTCTACCAAGGGTAATGATATCCTTAGATTACCCTTGTGTCAGAATAACTTCTTAACTTCAAGTATTGATATTCCCAGAGTACTATCATGTGAATAGTCCGAATGTCTGCCGAGTATTCATATGGGAGGAATAACATTCTGGGGATGACTACTACACTGCCCCTAGTACTATGATTTAAATAGTACTGACCTACAAAAGCTAACATTATTCCTACTCTGTATTTGTGTTCCAAGAATACTATTATATGAATGAAATCATTGGATGAAGTTCGCAGATATACATGTTGTAGTATTATATAGACACGACAACTGCGTAAGGTGATGGGACATGTTGCAACTGTCTATGGATGTGAAGTATGGAGCTATAACTGTGATATCATTTTATGGGGGTTGAGGAATAATACAAGTAATGTAGGAGGAACTAAATGATTTGAACCCTCCAAACCGCCTGGAGCAGATTTATTTGAGGAGCACGAATATACCAGTGTTCATTCCATGTGAAGAGCATGAGTATATGGAGAGTGTCATTCTGTTGAGTCCAATGACATGCTGAATGCACTACAATGTGAAATATGATGATGTCCCTGGGGAAGTGTTATCTGAAGGGTTCCATTGCGCCTGTAGTGCCCTTATTTGAGGCGCACATCTGCGTAAAGGGTAAGGATATCCTTCAGTGTCACCTTATATAAAGGGTATCCACGTGTTTGTAATACTTATATGTCGAGAGTAGTAACACCCTTATTCTATTGGTATTTCAGGAATGAAGTGACGCCCTGGATACCATTATTTGTACAATGCTGGTGTGGATTTCCATTCCCAGTAATGTGCGCGGATATAAGTGTACTACTATTATGTGACGAGTATAGTGGTGGGTGTACTAATGTATGTGAAGAATTCAGGGTTTATGCTTTCATTACATGGACGGCCCCATTCTGTGAAATGCATGGATATTCCAGTATATCTATTGACTGGAAACTGTGGATGTCTCTCGATCATCGATGCTGAGGAGTCTGGAGATCCGCATACTACTATTCTATAAAGGTACGAGTAGTGGAGCTATATGGATCACCTGGAGTGCTATTATAAAAACGGAAGCATGATGTGTCAAGTGTTTTGCCTTTAGGAGTAAAATTAGCGTTGTAGTACGATTCTTTGATAGAGTACGATAATACAAGAAGTATCGTCCTGTTTACAAACCTCTCGTGTGGATAAGACTTCCATTTGAACAGGGTATTCGCTGAAGGAGTATTCATGACTTGGAGTACTGTTATGGGGATACTACAGAGGTATGTATAGTACTCATATCTAAGGATGCCTAATATGGCTTGTACCATGCCATTTGAT